GCCGCGCCGCGCCACGCCATTATGTCATAACTTGTAACTCTCGCGAACCGCGGAACTCTTTTGGCATTAGCCTGGCCGAACCGGCTCGGACCAGTTGCGTCAACCGTCAGCGCACCGTTTGTCAAAGGGACAAGCAGCGTCTCCTCTCTTGCGCGCCAAAACCTGTTTCCAACCGCTGCGGCTCGCTACCGAGGCGGTCTCTGCCTTTCGCACGGTGGCGCACAGTGGTCCGTAGCGAGAAATCCAGTAACATTTCGTCGAAAAATCATCTTTCTAACTATCAACGTCTACTGAGCTCTTATTGCACCTTCGACATGTCCAGTAACCTCAAAAGTGAAGGAATTAATAAAATACAGATCAAATATTCAATAATATTACTATTCGAAACTAGATATTTTAAAGACAGTATTCTTATTTATTTATTTTTTATTCTTATCTTTTTCTTATTTATTGTTATTCTTATTTAAATTATTTTAAAGGTAAGACTTTATGTATATATCTGTTTTTTTTAACGCGCAGAGCTATCTTTTGTGGCAAGAAATTACATCTTTTATTAACCTATAATGAGAATAATTTGCTAGAAAATTATGCCGAATGCAGTAAGAAAAATTTGTTAAATTTTTTACTATTAATAGACGATATCTTTTATATTTCACAAAATTCCAGTTTGCGACGTGGTAGAGTCTTGGATTTTCAGTATACTTTTCTGTGAATATTGACATAAAGATAATCATTTCTCCCTTCGTCCCACTTGTCGAGTTATTAGTATTTAAAGTTGTTGGTATCATAGTATCTGTTTACTAGGATGAACCATTTAAAAAATTATAATTATTATCAATTATTGTAACAAATATCAACAATGTTCCTCGACTTTATATTCTACGTGTTCTATAAAACGTTGCGTGTACGAAACATAAATATAAAATACATATGTAGAAAGTTAAAAATAATTTATAAAATTATATTTAAACAGTTTTCTTTTCCACAAAAAATATCAATGAAAATTAATCAAATATTATTGTTTTACAAATGCAAAAAATATTTAATTATCCATACTTAGAAACGACTATTTCTTAAGTATTTTTCGTGAACATTTCATTGCAATATTTCTGATGGTTCAAAAGTTATAACAGAAAGTCACTGAATTTCTCGATCCGGACGACTGTTCGAATTTCGTCGGATACGGAGAAAATTTCAAAAATTTCGGGAATACTTTTCTACACGAAACTCAAGGTCACCTAAATTTCTATACGTTACACGTAATGTGTTTCTGACTCGGTAGTGTCATGCCTGACACATCAGGACGAATTCAACGACCTACTATACCACGTGCATAAGCCTTGAAATGACGATAAAATTAATTATTGCCGCGGAAAGCAGGTTCCTGGCCTACTGTGCACCGCCGGTCCGACACCGGCCCGTCGCGCTTCGCTCCTCCACCCTTTATCTCGCCCCTCCAACACGTTGCCCGGCGCGCAACGCTTTTTATAGCCCGTCATTCCGCGATGTAATCGTGCAAATTATTTATAAGCCGCGCGTTATTGCGCTGCCGTAACGATTCGACACCGAACGAACCACTGAACGCGTGCTTCGAGTGCTTTAACCTCTTCTAGAGCGAGCGTCGACACAGATCCCCGCGATTGACAGCCGCACGGACAGCTGGCGATCGTTTCGAGCCTTTCGAGCTTTCTACGGCAACGTTTTGGATATTTTGCTGGTATTTGAATTTCTTTTATTTTCGCCACACGTCGCGGTGTTTGCAAAATTCTCGAAATTGTTGATTTTACAGCAGTTGCACCCTGACATAACCTTGCTTTATTGTAAGAATATCTGTAACAAAGGGTTCATCTCACAGAACAAACATTAGGATTATTACTATTAACAATAATTAGATAGAATAATATATATAATTAGATAACTAAAAAGAAAGCGAATCAGAATCTTTATCTAGATATTAGCAGATAAATATCTGGGTCTTCGACGACCCACTGGTGGCTCTGCTAGTATTAACGCATTCACTGTCTAACCTATCTTTTTAAATCTGTTCCAGACACCAACACTTCTTGTTTTTAAATAAATAAATACTAACGAGGGAACCATGATAGTAAACAACCTGACATAACCTCTAACACGTTACTCTATTCAGAAGGCATACATTAAGAAACAAAAGTGACACTTTTTAAATCTTTGTTTTCTTGTTACCTTGTCCTAAACAAACGTATCTCATTCATGATAATTCTCCTTTAACATCCAAATTAAAAACCGTATATTTTATACAATAAAATACCCGGTACAATAAACAAGACCCTCTAACATTTACAAAAATGCTGAAATAATTTAGACTAGTCTCAAAAAACTTCTACCATTTTTTCCAGGACTTTTGCTCCTTGCTCTAAGTTCGTTCCCGACATTAAATATATAGAAAAAGAACAAAATCAAAAAATCAGAAAAGGACAGAAGCAAATGTTAAATAAATTTTGTTCGGCTAGGATCGCTATCTGTATCAGGATCCAAGCCCTCGAACGGCATGAATGAATGTCAGGTTGTTCTCAAAGGGGAGCACAGACCGGCCAGCCAGCAATATGGAAGTACCGTTCGTCCATTACTCTACGATATTAACCTATCGATTCGGCCGCACCGGTTCGTTCAATTTCCATTTTCTCGTGCCAAATACTAGCGAACACCCGACGGCCGCGTATCCTCGATGGAATTGAAACGGCTAATGGGGGCTTGTTGCAGAAGAGTCGCCGGTCCGCCCGTATCAGATTACCGATAACAGGGCCTCTGTCTATGATTCCATTCGCTGTCTGGCGATATCGCGTAACACGGGGTTCAAAGGCGACGGGGAAATTTTATGAGGCCGCTGTCTGTCGCCCTATTTGTTTTACAGGAGGGAGAGAGAAAGAGAGAGAGAGAGAGAGAGAGAGAGAGAGAGAGAGCTAATCACCCGAGCAGACGTTGCGTCGGCTGGATATGTCCGACTATGAATCACAATCTACTGTCTATCATCTTAACCCTTTGAGAGCACAATCTCCATTCGCTCGTCAGCTAGATTGCTTTCGTTCCGCAACTGCCACGGGGATCGTCGCTTCTGGTCGAATGACAAGCGAGGAATTATTTATTACCGTAATCATCTCAACGAAGCAAGAGTCAACATGTTTAAAGGAGCCATCACTCAGATCTAATGAAGACATAAGCTGAAAGTAAATCCAACGGTCGCTAATACAGAAGAAGTCATCTGTAATGCCTAGCGGCTCCCACTTGAGAAGACGTCATCAATATTCAGCAGACAGTGGTGGAGGACTCAGAAATATTTTAGCAAAATCTGCTAGAGGATTTATCAATATCGAGACAAACTCTGGTAAAGGAGCCGGTAGAATTTTAGTAAAATCTGTTTTAGGGGACTCATCAGTATCTAGCAAGCAGACCCTGCTAGACAATTCATTATAAGTAGTTTCCAGCAGGTCCTAGTAGGCTTTTAGTACGCTTATCAGTATCTGGAGATCCCTGGTAGCGGAGAAGACGTCTTCAATAACTAGCAGATCCTACTGGAGAAGTCATCTTCAATATCTAGCAGATCTTACTGGAGAAGTCATCTTCAATGTTTAGCAGATCCTACTGGAGAAGTCAACTTCAATATCTAGCATACTCTACTAGAGAAGTCATCTTCAATATTTAGCAGATCCAACTGGAGAAGTCAACTCCAATATCTAGAAATTCTACTAGAGAAGTCATCTTCAATATTTAGCAGATCCTACTGGAGAAGTCATCATTAATTTACAGCAGATTCTACTAGAGAAATCAACTTTAATATTTAGCAAACTCTACTAGAAAAGTTATCTTCAATATACAGCAGATCCTACTAGAGAAGTCAACTTCAATATCTAGCAGACGACTGCCTACCTATCAACCTATTAACTTTTTAAATAAATATTGCATCGATCAAGAGGATCGTGCGGTTCTTGACAATGCACTTGTCTTTTATTTTCATCTATCAAAGAACCGCGCGAATTTCTCGACTAAATGAAATACAATCTTCTGTCTTACTTTAAAAAAATTGCGAAACCGCTTCCATGGAAAATGATTAAACAGGCTTCGCCAGTCAAGCGGAAGATCTGACTAAGACCCGCGGTTTTTCTAAAGCGACATTAGTCATTTTTAGTGATCCGTACACGTTAAATATACAATATGTATGCTAATTATCAGCTCCAGACCGGCAGATGCATCATCCACTGTGACTCACATATTCGTTAATGGGGTACCATCCTTTCTCAATTGCAGATAAACGAAAGCTGGCAGCGTTAGTGTAAAGATAACCCAACGATGTGTCAAAGCACCTAACCCTGATCTGAGATACGTACGATCAACTGCAAAGTGTGATAACACCTCGGTTATCCGAACTAATCGGAGAGACATAAATGTTCGAATAATAGAATAATTAATTACGGTAAAACCTTGATTATCTGCACTACCAATGTGATAAATAATTTTTGTTCAGACCAAAGTTAATCCTTTTATCAGTTTCAATATTAATAGTTAATAATTACATACGACTGCCGTAGAAATAGAATTTAGATGGAACGTTTCTGACTCTGGGTTCAAATGGACCCGGATAATAAATTCAGAATATTATATTAATAATATTAGATATATTAATAATAATTATATATATATATATTAATATATATATAATAATTATATATTAATAATATTTTCAGAATATTATATTAATAATAAATTCAGAATCAACCCTCTCCAACTTCTATGCCAACACACTGGGACTGAAAGATTCTGATCCAACGGGGTCTCGCCCCAAGTAACAGTTGATGTCAAAGCAGAGGGAGCCACCGCTAATTAGCTCGAGAGCTAATTAGGCACGCCACCTGGCCGTTCGGGGACGAAGAAGGAAATTCGGCTGGCGCGCGCACCCGATTTCCTCGAGATCGGCGATCTCCGAGTTTCTCTAGCGTAAAAGTGGACCGGATCTCGGTTCGACTTACCTCAGTATATTCGGATGGCTGAGCTTGTTCATCAGCTGAACCTCCTTGAGCATGTTCGGCCTGTTCGCCGGCAGCTGGTTCATCTTCAACACCATCACCTGACTCGTCACTTTGTGTGTTACCTGGAAACAGGATTTAACACTGGTTCAGCATGATTTGTTTGCCGATCGGTCACGGTGCTCGGCCGTGCGACGAATAGTTCATCGGTGGGGCTCGGTTATTCAACGGTTTCTGACGGAAACCCATAGGAATTCATAATGTGGTTCTAGGTGGCTGAAATGATTTTCTTGAATTTATCGAATTTTTTATCGGTAGGTGAATGTACGTGGGGAAATATCTATTTATTTTTTTATACCTTGGGCTATTCTGGCCTATTTATGATTGTGTATATTATTTATTGTAATTATTGTTATGTATTATGTTTATTATTACGTTCTATATTTATTATTTTGCAATATATTTATTATTATGTATTATATTTATTTACCATGTTCTATATTTATTATTGTGCAGTATATTTATTACTATGTTCTATATTTATTATTGAGTATTATATTTATTACTATGTTTTATATTCATTACTGTCTATTATATTTATTATTATGTTCTATATTTATTACTGTGTATTATATTTATTATTATGTATTATGTTTATTACTATGTTATATATTTATTATTCTGCAGTATATTTATTACTATGTTCTATATTTATTATTCAGTATTATATTTATTACTATGTTCTATGTTTATTACTGTGTATTATATTTATTATTATGTATTATGTTTATTACTATGTTCTATATTTATTACTACGTATTTTACTTACTGCTATGTATTATATTTATTAATACGTAGACGTCCATTTAAACAAATTTCTTGGGGTAGATAAACACCCCATCACAGTCATATTAAACTACGGTGACGCCGGGTTAAGCGAATCGAGTCCCGAAGAAAGTTTCGAAGGAACAGCGGAGAGCAGCTGCTCCTCGTCGATTAGACAGAGCGTCGGGGATGCAGTTACAATTTTCTAAATGTCCGTTAAGTGGACACTAAAAGTGTGTCGGACAGTTAATAAACGTAAAGAAGAACAGCCGCGATAAACGCGAAGAAATTGTGGAACTCGTCCGGCGTTTAAATCGGCGTTAGAAAGTGAGTGGAAGCGAAGTTACAGAATAATAAAATTATAATTGATTTTCCTTGCAGTGATCGAACACCGTCGCGCTAATTGGCGGTTTTCACGACGACGGGAAATAATCTACGGCACGATCCAGTTTTCACGATGGGTCTTCACTTTCTCGAGATCAGTGTCACACTGATATTTCTGTCTCTGATAAACCAGTTGAGATCGAAAACTGTTTCTGCGTGTAAAAACGAATGAAACGTTATTTCCTCTGTAGCGTCGCGGTCCCGTCCGCGTCGTCTTGCGACGCGCCACGCGCTGGCCAATCAGGAAATACTAGACGTTTACAGGTCGAAAGTAAATCAGTAAATAAGTAAAAACAATAACAAATAAAACTGCTATTTCAGAAGCGATTTATAGCCAACAAGAGGTCCCTATAAAAATTATCATATCTCGCAAAAAAAAGAATTTTCAGAAATGACAATTTTTATACACACTCTTCGAAGCGTCATCTAGCTATCACTAATTTTTTCATAATTTTACATTCGCCTATTTCACCATGAAAAATTCCTGAACGCAGGCGTCCCTAACGTGCTCTCAGCGTTACGAAAACTCTCGCACTGCATTCTCGGGCGCGGATCAAATTTCAAAATACCGCCACTTCTTTTCAAATACACAGCCAAACTCATCCTAATTAAGAATCCTAGAAGTTTTCTCATTTCGGATAAACAAAATGGCCGCTATCATGGTCGCCACGTGGCCGATGCCACCGATTTTAACTATGTTTAAATAAACAATTTGCCAAATCTTAGCGAAAAACGCATAAATAAACCTTGCAAAACGTGACTACGAAAGATGTTACAGCTTCTTCGCGCCGAGGAAAACGATCTCGTCGCGGATCGTGCACCGTAATTAAGTGTTCCCATTGAACGACGACGCTCGGCGAGTTATCCCGATCGCGACGCGATATACGCCGCCGCTGTTGTTCCCGCAACTCGAGCGCCGCGTGAGAGACAACCGTCGCGCGATCCACGCAACAACGGGCACTGTTGTAAGTGAAACGAGACGCGCGCGCTATTCAAACGAACGGCGATTCAGGATTTGCGGTCGCCGATGAATCGTTTTGTTCGCCGGTGAATCGAAGACCGGCACAGAAAAAAGGAACGAGTGTCCCCACGGTACAATGGGTCGCGATGAATCGCGTTGTCACTCGAAATGACGAAACTTCGATCCCTCTCGCTTGTTTCGTTTGTGCACCGAGAGGCTTTGCGTTCGCTGTCGACCATTTCGGATCGATTCGAAACTGTATTGAAATATTGTGTCAGCTGCCAGACTTGTCCGGGAAGTTTCGTTTCTCTGGCTGGTTTAAGGCGTGTCGAACGGGTCTCGATTTTATTAGAGAGGATTGTCATCTGGTTCTCGAGATTTCTCGATTTTCGTTTTGTAACTAGATTTCATTTTGTAACCAGTATATTTTGTTTTGTAACTGGATTTTATTTTGCAAGTAGATTTCATTTTGTAATTACTACAATTTCTTTTGTAACTAGTACATTTTCTTTTGTAACTAGCACATTTTATTTTGGAAACTAGATCTTATTTTGTAACTAGTACATTTTATTTTGAAAACTAGATTTTACTTGGTTAACGAGATTTTATTCCGTAACTAGATTTTAATACGTAACTAGAACGGAGATAGCGCCTCTAGCGGAAACTCGCTGCAATTAACTTATTATCGCAACATTTTTATCGTCACGGTGGGATTACGTCTGTCCACCTGTCCTTCTTGCGCCGTGCCGCGGATTCGAAGAACATGCAGCAGTTCAGTTATTACCGTATTCATTTTTAATTCGCCGACGAGTATATCTCGTTACGGGACGACGAGAACGGCGTCCCGCACTTTTTACGAATTCCCGCGCGCTCGTGCTTCCGTGACGCGTGAACTTGTCTACTTGTGTCCTCCTCTCTGCAGCGAAGCAAGCGGTTACCGTTAGGGATTTCGGACTCCCGCGGAAATCAGGCCAATCGAGCAGATTCGCGCTAACAACCGACAGCGCCGGGAGAACTTCAGCTATCGCCGGCGATGTTTAGCTTCGAGGAAAAAAAACCTTTTCCAAAGAACACTTTGCATCTGACTTCATTAAGCAGAAAGTCAACATTGTAGCTGGTTAACCTAATCCGATGTTCCGCAAAGTGGAACTTAGGATCGAGTGCGTGGCAATTTTGAGTATTTCTTAGAGACAATTGGAAAGTCATTATCGAAGATGAACGACTCAAGTTGCAATTCTAATGTTTCGAGACAAAGATGGCGTCGTTATAATCGATACAGTAAAGTAAAAAAAAGGAATACTATGAAAGGGACACTATTTTTGTTTATATAGTATTTTTCGTTTTGGACCTAGTGCAGACCTAACCAAGATCTAACACAGACTTAAGGCAGATCTAACCCTGACCTAACCTAGACCTACTCCAGGCCTAGCTGGATCTCTTGTTTCAAGCCTAACTCAGACCTAACGCACACCTAACCTAAACTAAATTGAATGAAACGACAATAATGTAACAGCTGTTTCGTTATTCTCATCCATAAATGAAATACAATTACTAGACTGAGAATTTGATTGATTTATGACAAAAAACAAATTTAATAAATCAAAGGTAAAGTACAAAACAGTGGAAAAATTGAAGGAATTCATGAACACTGTTGTGTTACTCATAACCAATCGCAATCATTAAAAGTAGAAATGCAGTTTTCCTTCGATCGATGCGAACAATTTTCTATTTTTCACAAAGATCCGCAGCGCAATTACTGAAATACGTAACTGTACGAAACTATTCCGATTCCTCTCGTTGCCATCAAGCGATCTGGACCATCGCGACGTATCCAGAACACTGTCCTCCACGATATCGTACAGCTGGCCAAAGTGTAGTCCGTGACATCGGCCAATCGTAGTGTCGCGAGAAGGTAGAATCTAGAATGTTGTGGAAGAAGGCGCGCTCTGGCAGCCTGATTCCGCGGATCGAGCTGAACAGGAAAACGAAGCTGAAAGGCGAGGGGGGAGCAGGGACGCGACGAGGCGCGCAGTATTTGTGTATGTGTGTGTGTGTGTGTGTGTGTGTCGCGAGATGGAAATTCCTTGGGTTAAAAAGTCGAGAATATCCGAGCGGAATCTGGCCAGGATTCCTTGGCAGTGGCTGGCTTAGTTGGGCCGCGTCCAAACGATGACGAACACGCGGCGTAGAGCCGGCGGGTAAACAGAGCGCTTGCAAATCGAGCGTTTCGCGAGAGGATCAACAAGACAAAAAATAGAAGATACACGGACGAAGAGAAAGCGAAGCTAACGAGAACACCGGGCTCCTCTCGGAATCCACCGGAATTCCTGTCATTGTGTAACGCGCGCCGCGTCAAAAAAACGTCTCTTTCTCTTTCCCATTGTTTCTCTCTCCGTTTTTTACTTCTCTGTCCCCCTCCCTCTTTTTCTAGTTCTCCGTCTTTCTCCCTCCTCATTTATTTCTCTGTCCCTATATTTATTTGTTACTTCTCCGTTACTTTCTTTTTTTATTTCTGGCTCTCCTTTCTCGTTTCTCTTGCCTTCTTTTTTCATTTATTTTTCTTTCACTTTATTCATTTATTCCTCCATCATTATCTCTACTTATTTCTCTGTTTCTCTCTCTCTCTCCCTTCATTTATTCCTCTGTATGCTCTCTCTCTCTCTCTCTCTCTCTCTCTCTCTCTATTTATTTGTCTGACCTCTCTTTTTTTATTTCTTTGTCTCTCTCTGTTATAGGTTATGTTCAATAGACGCCGTTGCAACTGTATAAAAATTTGTAAATAACTTTTGCGGCAATAATTTACCACAGATTTCATATAAAAACTGACAACTGTGTAAAAATTTGTAAATCATTTTTGGGTTTAACCATTTACCATAAATTTTATATGATAATTTGTAACTGTTCTTTATTCTTCTGTTTCAAGGCCTATATTTTCGTCGATCTTTCTTCCTGTTT